CCTTCGGATACTATAAATAATTAAAAACGATGAAAAAAGAAACGAGAGCGAAAAAAAGGAAAGTAATTAATTTCAAGAGAAGTAATTAAAATATAAAATAAGTTTTACGATTTCCATTTTATCAAACTTTACTTGGAATATTTCAATTTTCTCTCGAGTACTAAAAATAATCTAAGACATAATTAATTTTGGAAGAATTATGATTAAAATGATTAAAGTTTATATAGCCTCGGTTAAGCACCATATCCATTTTATATCTCATTTAGTTCTACAATGTTATTATGAAAAATATAATTAACCTTTAATCCCTTAAGCGGTTATATTCTATGATGTACACGTTATAACCGAAGTAACTATATTGCAGAGATGATGGACATATTTCTATTATGAAAATTCTTGTGCATCGTCTCAATGTTGTATAGGATAATGTAATATAACGTTCTAAATCATTTCTGGAACAAGAGCAATAATAAAATATTATGATTGGCTATTATGATATTATTGATTAATAACTATTTAATACAAATGAATTTTTTTTTTTTTGCATAACGTGCAAATGTACAAATTGGTTGATTTAAAATTATGATCTATTAAACATTATTACATTTGATAAATTATTATGATGTAAAGAATATTAATTAATACATATAGAACAATAATGGCACGATATGTTTTAAGAAATAAAACATAAAACATGCATTTGCTACTACGAATATTCCATTATTTACAATTATCAATCATACCATTCGAATCGAGTCTTCTCTCGTGATTTCACACGTCTCGAAACAACAAACAATTTATAAACGACAAATTCCATCGTAACAATAATATTTCATAATAAATAATTAATCATAAAATTATGTGAAACAAAAGCAATAATACAATATTATAATAAAATAAAAAATATGATCGTATGCTTTATTACTATTATATAATTACACTAAAAATGATGCAGAATTATTATTTATTATTATTAATTACGCAGGATTATTGTGAGATACATTATACAATATTTTCACACGTAACTGGGTACAATGATTCGAAGGAAGTGGCAACGTTACAAAGGCAAGATATAAAAATACATAAAGTCGTATAATCGTATTATCGTTTTATTCGCAGATGCAAAAGAATCGAAAGAATTTCCTTTCACGTTTTAAAATTGAAATCATCCAAAGCTTGCATTACTTACTTCTCCAAACGGTGTAGAATTCGAGATTATTTCGAACTCCGCCAAAATGGAATTTATTGTTGAAAGTTTAGCCGGTTGGCTTCCTACTCTTTCGATATAAAACAATCATGTACCATAAATTCGAAAAGTTTTCAGATGGATAAGGAAAAATTGGATTGCGACAATTCTCTTTATTTTGGACAGAACCCAATTGACACGAATCTACGTATTATCATACATCATATTTAATATGACAGTTATGAATTATAGAGATTTATTTATCTCTGCTGCTTCGTATATTATCCTCTGACACATTGTATCGAATTCTGTTTCTTTTACATATCTACATAATTTTATTATTTGCAAATATTCCTGTTAAATATTTGGAAAAAATATTATATCTTTTACAGAAATTATCATATTAGGAGAAATTGATACAGGATTAATTTTCTTTATGTTTCTTTTTCAATTAATAATTGATAGATATTTAATTTTATTAATTTCTCGAAATTATTATATAATTCTTCTCTAATAGACATGTTAAATTACAAAATATCAGATATATAACATATCTTAAATTTAATGGAATTATATAAGTTACATTGTAAAAAAAGTTAATTTATTTAAATTTCATATTTAAATTTGAATTAAATTTAATATATTTAAATCTTTCGTATTTTCGAAATAAATTTACCTAAAAAATTTAAATTAAATTATCCTCCATGGATGCCTTTTTTTTTTTTTTTTATTATTCTAAAAATCTAAAAGAAATACTTTTATAAAGAATTTAAAAAGTCTTTCAAAGGAATACAGAAATGAAATTTTACTTCTTTGCTTTTATTTATACATTTAATTAAGTTTATTTTCTTCGTCGCAATTTTTCTTAAAAAAATATTTCCAATTAAAAATTAACAACAGGAAATTACATTTTCTATTTTCGATCGTCGATATTGTTGAAGAGGAAAAATAAATAATATATATTTTGAATCTAGAACAGAGAGAAGTTTCTGCGAAAGGCATAATCTCAACTGCACCCTACTTATTAAAAATCGACGACGAAATCGGTAATCGAAGCGTGACACAAACGCCTCATCCCCTCGTAGACCCAATTTATCGGAAATAATCGAATCACGAATGAAATCAAGCTTATGATTGAAAACAAATAGAAACATCTTGCTTCCTCTCTCCCCTTTCCACTCTCCTCAACTTATCGATAAAATTTCTCGCCAAATACTTAAATTTATTATAGATTGGACAGATATCGATACTCGAAAAAAAAAGAAAGAAAGAAAAGAAGAAAATCCATAACCGCCTTCTCTCGTAATTTGTTCGCCGTCTGTGCATCGATAAACTTGGTTACCGTGCTATTGCACGCACGAGCGATAATTAATTGAAAGGTCGTCGATCAAAGCCAGACAGTTTCTTGTCTGGCTCGAATCATGGCGTAATCATAATGGATCCAGAAGCAAAAGCCAGAGAATTGAGGTGGTAGCTAAGAATCATCTTAGCTGGTTAATTATTTCTTTCCAAGGTTAATTGTTAAATTCTATGTTAAATTTCATCGAGCTTAGGATAAGATATTATCGAAAGATTATTAAGGTATACAAGTTTCGAATGTAACAATGAATGGAGATGAATATTTTTACACGAAACAACTTTTGGATAAAAATATCACTTTTTCATTACACGATTGTAAAAATGAATTTTTTCATTTATTTCATACGTATTAATCATTAAGTTAGGAAAATGATCGACAGATAAGCTATTAATAACTTTGTCGATTTTTTAAATTACAAATATATATATATATACACGTACACTTGTATTGTTTTTTTTTCATATACAGATCGCTAAAAAATGACTCATCACATTATCGCGTAACAGTGTTCTATGATAATATGTGATTCACAGTGTTCGTTCATTAGAACGTTTTTTCAAAATATAGAAAAGATTATTTATTATAAAGTAAATTGTAATAAATGATAAATGACAAGAATATGAGAAACATTGATTTATATATTTCATTATATTTTTATACTAATTATTGTACTTTTTTTTTTTTTTTTGGTCTCTAAAGATATCTCACTGTATATTCTGCTTATCAATTATTTAATTTCTTTTCTATTATTTAAAACATCAATTTCTTTTGCAGGTAAGTTTCAAGCAGTGAAGTTAAATTTCCACTTGAAAATTTCAGTGCAAAGAATCTAGAAACACGATGAAAACTCTTTTGCTAATGCGATATATCCTGCATAGATTAACGTGGATAAAAGTATTTTCAATATGATTTCGTTTTTATTTAAACAAAAGAAATTTATACAACGGAACGAAAGAAAAAGTGAAAAATCTAACGTATTTAATTCGTGTTGAAGGAAAATTCATCAACACTGATATTTAATTCAGTGGCGAAAGGATTGGGGCATTAAGAACAAAGAATCAATGAGTTTAAATCGTATTAAAATCGCATTCTGGGTTTAACAAGACCCGATCGCAGGACATAGTGGATCAGCAAACGTGTTCAAAGAGCGAATCTTGTAATTAGTAAATGCCTTCGAAGGTGGGCGATCAATGAAATGAATAGAAGCCAAGCGGACAAATGGAGTAGATGAGTAATAATGCTGAGAGGAAAGATGTTTTCAATTTCTAGTGATTTCGAAATTCATCAAATTTCATTCAGCGATTTTAATTAAAAAAAAAAAAAAAAAAGAAAAAAAAGTGCAATTTTAAGTGATTTCATGTGATTTTAAATAACGTTATGAAATAGATTTCGTATAAAGAAATTTTAATTTAATAGTAATTATTAATTAATAATAATTTTTTATTTAAAACTAAATAATATCACTTCTTCTAAATTTTCAAAAAATTCTATTAAATATAATCGTAATTGAAATTAATTTCGCGATTTCACGTGATTGCAAGCGATTTTATTCGTATATAAAATTTTGCACGAATAAATTTCACTTCTCGTTATTAGCGAAACATTTTGCATGTTAATAATTTTTCTATTCTATATTAACTTTTTATTCTTTTCGATATGCTCGTTATCCCTATTTAAAGAGAAACACTTTGATTATTAATTTTATTAATACAGGGAAAGAATGCAATTACTATGCACAATTTATCTATGTGAAACACGAAAATTGAAATTTCAAAAAAATGAAAGTTAATAAGCAATGTTCGTCATAAGAATTTTGGAACGTCGCATGTACAACACGTCGTGTTATATATAACAATTTTATTTCATTACTATGGGATAAAAAGCGCGTTAGAAATTCCACGGAGAAAGAATTGCTGGAGCGTTAAATTCGAAAATATGTAGATTAAATTTACAGGATATTTCAGAGTTAGCATAATTCTGGGAACTTGACCGGTTCTGATTCTAGAGTTTAATGCGTTCCAACACATTCGAAAATTTCTGTTGCCCAAGATTTCGAATCTATAGAGGATCCACGACAAACTTTCGCATACCTTCGAAGCTTTGACAGGAACTTTGAACTTGTGCAAAGTTCGAAGACGTCCGCGTTAATTCGCAAGTTTGAAAGTTGTTGAGATTAAATCGATCGATTATTGAAGTTTCAGTCCCCGTTCAGAAAACAAATTTAAAAGCATAGTATCGAAGTTTTCGATATATCTTTCTTCGAGCTATTCACACGAGAATAGTTGGTTTATGATGAAACAATTTTTATCCAATATTTTTGCCAGAGATATAAGACGAAGTAATTTTAATCATTTTTTTTATTATTATTACGATGTTGCAAGTAAAAATAGAAGTTAGATATAAAGTGATAAGTGTGAGAAAAAATTAAATAACAAATAAAATATTTTTTTGCAGCGTGCAACGTATGGGGCAACGCTCCTCCGCGAAAATGTCGGCCACCGAAAATCGGCGATATTCCAAAGTGAGTGATAATTTTTAATAAGATTAAATAACCTTTAAATATTCGAATTTTTCATATTTTCAGATATAAAAGGAATACAGAAGAATTGTACATTTAATTTACAAAAATTATATCATAGCATTTAAAATTTGAACTTTAAATTTAAATAGAATGAAAATTATTTAATATCCGAAATAAGACAAGACTGTTCGAGTTAAAAGAATTTTTGAATAATAATAGAATGTTCACTTATAAGACAAGACTGTTCGAGTTAAAAGAATTTTTGAATAATAGAATGTTCACTTTTTCTCGTGATTGTTGTATTATTTATCAAAAAAGAATGATAATTAATAATAATTAAAGAATAAAATATAAAAATATAAATATTTTTTTAATTATAGCTTGCTGCTGAATCACATAAACTTTTTAATCTATTACATTTTTAAATTATAGCAGTCTTCTCCACAGAATTAAAAGATAATACTAGCAATATCTTCGGCAATGAAAGTATTTGCAGTATTTCCATCAGAACCCATCGTGCTGCATCGTTATTTTTTGCATTCTTGATATCCAGGTATTTTCTATAATATATCATAACTTATAATATAACAAATAATTTTTTTTTTTGCACTTTTATCATTTTTTAGCTTCTTCAGTTTCGTTTTCGATGATATACAAATAATTATTGACGCGTGCAATATCGATTTCCTACTGCAATATAAGATTAAAACATAGAAAAGAAAATATAATATTCAGCTGAAGGAAAATTGGGATAGGATGAATTATACTAATATCCTTATTATAAAATTTTAATAATTTATTCTAACTTTAAAACGAGAGGTATCTAACTAAAATCAATTTCCGATTCTTCCGGTTGTAAAAAGTCGTTCAAGGATCGAATCGAAGTTCGATAAATTGGCAAAACGAGCTGCGCATTACAGAGATATCTGATTTCCCTCTCATACATCGGCAATTTATTTTCCGTTTAACTGGGATTATGTGGGGGACGATGATCGCTGAAAAAGCGTGCAATCCTTATCTAAAAATTGTGCCAAATCGAAATTGAAACTTTAAATTCATAAGATTTCAATTGGATTATTATTATTGGTGTAATGATTACTTTTGCGATGATTTTTAATCAATCTTTAAACTTTTTCAATCAAGTTTCAATTATATTTTAAATTAATTTATATATCGGAATTGAGTTTAGCGTGCAAAGATCGAGGCAAAATTTTATTTTTATCCTAAAAAGATATTGTTAAGATTTAATTGCAAGATAGAAATCTCAAAATCTGTCTCATTAATTAATTTAACATCGAATGGGTTGTTCAGACGTCTAAAATCTTCATCTTCAAAACTTTATAAGCAAAAAACGAAGCGAGATCGTTTATATTACGAAACAAAAAACATTTATTCCATTATTCATTACCATCTCCTGCTAAATTGATTCACGATTTTACTTTCAAAATTGCAATTTTGTTGCTACATCAAGAGCCAAATTTATCACAATTTTAATTAACATAAAAATAAAACGAAATAATCGAGGGTGAAATTTTTATTCAAACTTGAGATCTCTCTCTCACACAAAAATAACAAACACAAGTTTCACTTACTTGTTAAACTTTAGATTCTAAAAATGAATACTTCTCGTCTCAAGTTATCCAACCTCGATTCTTTCGAGCGACTCGACTCATTCAAAGATCGCTCGATGAATATATAAATTCTTCTTTGAAACGCTCAAATTTACACGCACGAAACCGTGTAATCGGATTACCGTCAGGGATCCAAGTTCCAACGATAAATTTCGCTTCGATCAACAGCGACCTTCGCGACGAAATGAAGCAAGAAGGGGAGGGAAAAGCGAAGGCAAGGAGGCACAGGGCCTAATCTGGTATAATGCATCTCGGCATGCAAATAGATATTTTTAACCTTGTCTCGAAGACGATCGATAGCCACGAAGCCGGCACGAAACTCGTCTAAATAATTGCTCCTCCTCGACGTTGGAAATCATTTTTCTTCCTTCATGCCCGCATCAATCGGATTCCGATGTTCCTTTCCTTCCACCTCCTTTCCATAATTCCAATATTGGAATACGAAAGGAATCATTCGATTCCTCTCCTCTCTTCCATTCTTCGAATCGAAGTCGTCGTCTCGCTAACATACGATTTGTCGAAAAACGAGACTTGGATTTCCCCTTAAGGGAACGTTTCGATGGGAAATTTTTCCAAATTTTTGCCCCCCAATTTTGTGCATCTTGGAAGTAAGAAGGAAAAAAACCCTCGCTGGAATTATGTGTCTCCGTTTTCTTTGATGCTGCGAAATGTCGAGGGAACGTGATATTCCTTTCGGAATCAAAAGTTTACACCCAGAAGCATCAACGACACCGTTATTCCATCGTTATTCAACGATTGGTTGTGACTTCGACGAGAAGAGGTAAAAATCGATGATCGCTTTCCCAACGAACGTGTTGCGTTTGAATTATAGTTTACACGATTTGCTTCCAAGAGAAAGGCTGGATGAATTATCGATGATTAACGGCGTCTGAAATTTCTCAAATTCTGCCTATTCGAAGGAATAATCTTTGATATTAAGCGGATTTCCGATATTTATTTGTTCATTTTTTAAATTTACAGAAATCGAATTAAAGATGATAGTTGATGTAGTTGTGGTAAGAATGTGGAAAGATTAATGATTTGATTGAAAACGTGCTGATTAATTGAATATCTAAGTTGAATAATTTCAAGAGTTGTAAAGATATAATAAACGAGCATTGAAAGATTTTAATAAAAATAATAATAGATCTTAGAAAATTTAACGAATCGTAACCTGTTTCTCGAGTCGGTGAGCTCGTGATTTTTCGCTACAACTACGCTATGAATCGCGAAAATTCTTTTCATTATTGTTTCAATTAAACGAAAAATAGAAAAGAACCGTTTATGCCGGATGAACAGACGCGTTTTTACTTCGTTTCACCCAATTTTCATCCTTGCTTTTGTTATCTCGAACAACTATCTTATATTCCATTTCTATCTCCATTTCTTCTTCCTTTTTTTTTCTTTCTTTTTTTACTCTGTCTGTGCGGCGCAGCATTGATGGGAAACGGTATCATGTTGGCAATTTACGTTATACGACGATTGTCGAAGGTTAACCTGGATTCAATCGTTTTAATCATAGAACGAAGACCGAGCGGATGAGACAAAGAACAAAGAACGGGATACGTCGGAGGTTAACCTCGTCCGCAAGTGTCTTTTTCCTTTTTCCGTCCGGTTTCCCTCATTTTCTCTTTGTACGCGTTTGCTTCTTCCATTATCTTGTTTTTTCTTTCTTTTTTATCCTTGGTCATTTATTTCTGGATCGCTGGAGTTTTTAGATTCTTAAATTTCTAGTTTATCCTCTGGATAAATTATTTATAGTCCTGAATTTTTAGACGTCTAGTTTTATGAGATTTTAAATTTTGTACGTATTTGTAGATATCGTTGGAATCTTAAAATTTTCTGACATTTTGGGATTTTATATTTTTGAAATTTTTACATTTCTTTGAATCTTCGATCAATTTGTAAATTCTCATGGTTCAAAAAATTTTTTTTCAATTTTAAATTTTAATTCTTTAGATCTTCTCTAGATCTTTAAGCAGTTTCGAAATTCTTAAGTTCCTCTATGATTTTTCTACATCATTATTTTCCTTTCTTTTTTTTGTTTCTTTTCATTTCCTTTTTTTATTTCTCAATATTTCTTTTCAAATCTGCATTCGCGATTTTTACAGTTCGGTGCCATCGCGTTACGTTCGATGCCATCACCATTCTTTCTCTCTTAGTTATGCGTACAATGTTACTGTATTTATGGAACATCTTTAAAGAATCGATTAATTTAAGAGATCGAAACAAATTCATTCAAATATGTCGACGCTTATTTATTAAATTGTGAACGATTAAAATTAGAAGAAGCATCGTTTCATTCCGTGTCTCGCTTTATCCCACTTGAAATTTTGAGATCAATTCTCAATTGAAAATTCCTTAATTCAAAAATTCCAAGCTTAAAAACTTAAAAAAGTTAATAAGGAGCCAAATCAAATTCATTTTAGAATTGCATAAATAATTATATTAGAATTACAAGTATTACGAACATGAGAAGAAGTTGGATTATAACATTGATTATGAAAAGTGTTTTAAACGAAGTTATAAAAGCATCGATAAATTGGCACGGTTGCCACCGATAAAATGGTGGAAAAGAATTTAAACAGTCTTCACGCCTAGCCGCACTTAAGTGAATAATACGATGTTGCTGGATAATTCGATGAAATTTACGAGGCATCGTAAAATTGAACTTGTGTTTGATCAAGATAGAGGGGAATACATGAAATTTACCGGATTTGCATCTTGCGTGACACTCATACGAATTCCACTCCGCGATTTCCTTCCCTACGACCACTCGTGCACTCGTTCAAAGTTGCGAATCCGTTTTATCGCGGTTCACAATCGTAAATGATTAATCATCTTGCTACTATTTATAGTTTCGTACATGGTTTTCAATTAAACCGATCTAATTATACAAATTGTTCAAAGAATATAAATGTTTTTGTTACGTGAATTCCAACGATCGTGTTATTTGCTCGTTTATCTTTTTCCTTTCTTTCTTTCTTTCTTTTCTTTTTTTCTTTTCTAATGACCACTTAATGTTACACGAGAAGATCGAAAAAATTAATAGTGAAAATATGAATATAAAATTGGAATAAAAATTGTATTGTAATTGGTAATTTCTTTGTTTTGTTTTTAATTGTACGTGTAATGATTTGTGTGGTATCAAGTGAAAATTGAGAAATGAAGAGGAGATTATAAGAGGAAAGAAGTTTAATACTTTATTAATAGTCAAATTATATGTACATGTAGATATTACTTCGAAGAAAAAGAAAGGAAGAAGGAGTTGAAATTTGTAAGAAATTTATTAATAAAATCTTTTTAAACGATTTTCCCTTAGATCCAATTCTCAAGAAGTTTCTTTTTTTTTAATTCTCTTTTCAAAAA